GGATGTCTCAAGCGAGGGCGCCGGTTTGGGATTCGTCGGCGGATCTGTCCGGAAACGGTGCCGGAGGCCGCTCTGGGCTCCTCTGGGCACCTCCCCCGGGGCCGGTTTTGCGAGGATGTCTCAAACGAGGGCGCCGGTTTGGGATTCGTCACCGGATCCAGCGGATCCGTCCGGAAACGGTGCCGGAGGCCGCTCTGGGCTCCTCAGGGCACCTCCCCCGGGGCCGGTTTTGCGAGGATGTCTCAAGCGAGGGCGCCGGTTTGGGATTCGTCACCGGATCCAGCGGATCCAGCGGATCTGTCCGGAAACGGTGCCGGAGGCCGCTCTGGGCTCCTCTGGGCACCTCCCCTGGGGCCGGTTTTGTGAGGATGTCTCAAGCGAGGGCGCCGGTTTGGGATTCGTCACCGGAACCAGCGGATCCAGCGGATCTGTCCGGAAACGGTGCCGGAGGCCGCTCTGGGCTCCTCTGGGCACCTCCCCCGGGGCCGGTTTTGTGAGGATGTCTCAAGCGAGGGCGCCGGTTTGGGATTCGTCACCGGATCCAGCGGATCCGTCGGGAAACGGTGCCGGAGGCCGCTCTGGGCTCCTCGGCCTCTGGCACCGTCCCCCGAAACGACGGGGCCCGGTTTTTTTCTGCGAGGATGTCTTCAAGCGAGGGCGCCGGTTTTGGATTCGTCACCGGATCCAGCGAATCCGTGTCCCGGAAACGGTGCCGGAGGCCGCTCTGGCTCACTCTGGGGCACCTCCCCCCCCCGGGGGGGGGGGGGGGGGGGGGTGTGGGGGGGGGGGGGGGGGGGGGGGGGGGGGGGGGGGGGGGGGGGGGCCGGTTTTGCGAGGATGTCTCAAGCGAGGGCGCCGGTTTGGGATTCGTCACCGGATCCAGCGGATCCGTCCGGAAACGGTACCGGAGGCCGCTCTGGACTCGTGCTCTTCGCGCCGGGGGTGAGGATGACGTGAGTTCCACAGAAACTCCCTCAAATTAGATCTGCAGGCGTCGGCAAGGAAGTCCCCACACGCCCCAGCCACCTCCATCACATCCAGAAACCGACCCCGCCAGTGAAAGGGCCATCACCCAGGGCAGTTCTAGCCCTCACCGAGGGCAGGTGGCAGTCAACTGTTTTAAAATGCCGTGACGCAGCCAGTTGGCACGCTGAATCTGCTGTAGGCTGGCGCAGTCTCTGCTGGCGGGCCTTCCGGCTGGTCTGGGCAACAGTGTAATGATTCGGCTGGCACCGTCTGCACTGGCAGGCGTTCATCCTTCCCCACGCGAAGCTTAAACCTCATGCCCCACCCCTCGCCAACAAGGTCTTCGTCGCGGGTCTGCGCTGACTGCGTGAAACTGCAGCGCGTTCTAGGCTGGTTGGCTCGCACAACCTCGGAGGCGGCCCTGGTCGAGGGCTGCCCGTCCTGGGGCGTTCATTCTCCTGCTCCTCCACCCCCAGCTCACTGAACTTCCAACGACCTGCACCACCACCTCCTCCAGCCAGTTGATACAGCGTGCGACTAGCCACACAGCGATCTCCTGCTGCTGAAAAGCTGTGGATAAATGCAGGTGCTCCACCTCCACCACCTCCTCCAATGCGTCACCTGCCACCTTCAAGGTGTTGCGCCCTTACCGCGGGTCTTGGAACTGATAAGAGTGCAAACGAAGCCATATCGAAATACTTATAGCGGTGGGAGCGCGATGCAAATACTCACATGTCAAATACAACGACTGCACAAAGAGCGCATGCGGTGCAACCTATCGTGAAAAGCCCGCGATGCAAAATGGCCTCTCTGAAAATATTTCCGGAGAGGCTTCTGGGACCGCCTAAGCATGGACAGACTGGACAACAAGGCACACACGCAATGTCGCAACGGCGCTGGCCCCTCCCACCCCGCCCAACTCCACTCTCAGCCCCCCCGCACCTCCAACTCCCACGACACAAATAGAAATAGCCAACGCTTGAAAAATGGTGCACCTTGGGGGACCTTCTTTGCAGATGGCGGTAAGACAGAAGATGCTGATGACGAGGTTGATGACAATGACGAAGTGGATTATGATGGCTGCGCTGTGACACTGCGGTGGTGCAAGAAACTATCGACCTGCCTCTTCGCACCTGCTTTGAAACGCCGAATGTAGAACATCTGTCTCCATGTATGCACTACCTACATTACATCTGTTTCCAACAGCGCGGCATTCACAAAATTGATCGTCACGCGTTCACCTTGGCTTCGCAGTACATTCAAAATAGGTTGTCTACGTTTCTTCTTGGATCATGCCAATGGCTTGGTGGCAAAAAATATGCAACATGTGAGGAACGTCGTCTAATTTATCACACAACTTGCCCTACGCGCCGAACAAATACAGGTAAGATGGTTGTGGAGACGACAGCAACAACTCGAAGCTGTGGTACATCAAAATATTGGTTGAGATCAACGTCATCCCCCGGCTCTTCTGCAACCAGACTTTGAGCTTCAGCCTGGCTGTGGGTTTTCGAAGATGTCGTGGGCAGCGCCTCGGGACCTCCAATTTCCTCCTCGGCATGCTCTGCAAGAGTTTATCTTCTATTGTCTTCAAACTGTTAAGTGGCAGCTGATACGGTATGAGATTGACCCTCCACGTGATTAGCGTTCTGCGACAGAGACGGCTCACAAATAATGCCAGCCGCACGTGTTACAAATGTATGATACACATGTGTATAAATGTGTAACAGAGAACCCAAGAGAATACCCCCCCAGGGATAGTAAAGTTCGGGGTTTTCGGGGAGATAATAAAAGTTGCCCGCCAGAGCCAGCATAAAGAGATACCAAGAGGAAAAAGCCAAAGATATCTTGAGGATTGTCTCGATTGAGACATCCTCAACGAATTCCTTGTTTCGCTTGAGACATCCTCGAAATATTTGTCTGTTTCGCTTGAGACATCTTCGAAGTATTGCTTATTTCGCTTGAGACATCCTTGAGGGAGGGGGAGGAGAAAGAGCAAGAGGAGGAGAGGAGAAGGAGATAGCAAAAATCCAAATTTTAAAACTTATTAGATTCAATGTGTAAACGCTTGCTGAACATTAAAATTTTCATCTGCTCGTGTAGGGTAGCTCACGTGCCTCGTTTTCCCAGGGTAATCAAACCCAGCGATAAACAAGTTCAGGGCGCCAGTGGGGGAGGAGGAGAAAGAGATAGAGAGACAGAGAGAGAGAGAGAGAGACAGAGAAAGAAAGAACGAGAGTCAGAAAGAACTACAAAGAGGCAGAAGGACATCGGTTTCGCGAGAGACATCCTTGAGGGAGGAGGAGGAGAAAGAGCAAGAGGAGGAGAGGAGAAGGAGATAGCAAAAACCCAAAGTTTAAAACTTATTAGATTTAATTTGTAAACGCTTGCTGAACATTAAAATTTTCATCTGCTCGTGTAGGGTAGCTCACGTGCCTCGTTTTCCCAGGATACTCAACCCCAGCGATAAACAAGTTCAGGGCGCCAGAGGGAGGAGGAGGAGAAAGACAAAGAGAGACAGAGAGAGAGAGACAGAGAAAGAAAGAAAGAAAGAGAGACAGACAGAACTACAAAGAGACACAAGGACATTGGTTTCGCTTGAGACATCCTGAAACAACGTGTTCGCTTCGCTTGATGTTGTTATCTCAACATAAGAAGGAAGTAACCTCGATGGCGAACTTTTCCCGTGATAATGAAGTTCGGCCTCCGCGCCTCGCCCCCGACCAAACTCTTATTGGTCGACGATAAAAATCTCTAACGACTTAAGGGGGGGGGGTACATTATTATCGTGGGTAGGCGGTTATACATGGATATCTATATATATACACATATGTATGGATACATATGTAGATATTGATACATATATAGATATGTGTGTGTATGTATGTATGTCGGTTGCCACGGGCAACAAAACCTCCAAGTTCTCAGAAAAGAGTACAGGTGTAATCGTCTCAGATGGCCTGGGGATCCAGATTTTCCCAGCTTGCTGAATATGAACACTCTGCCGGGACTCTTTCTGAAGCGTCCTCTGCGTCAACCTGATTGTGCAGCTCAAGCCGAGGATTGTACGATGCAGCGGGTGCGATGAGACCACTGCTCGGGACAATGACAGGTAGGACTAATCGATGTGTAAGAAGATGCACACTATCCAAGGTTTTCGCTTGTCCAAGAGAGCTGCCTGCTCTCTTGAGTCGCATTCTGCCCATGGAACGCATAGTTTCGAAAGTGGGATCTTTCGATTGTGAGCCTGAAAATGTGCGTTTACGATATCGTTCCCTTAGTTTCCTGAAGGTGCTTTTGTAAACCACTCCATGCCAATATTGATTGGACTGTAACTTGCTCCATTTAGGACTGTGCTGTTGATGATGGACGTTTTGCTGAGCTGATGATTGTTCAGGTGGGCGTAATACTGCCAACTTGAGTCCACATAAGAAAACTGCTGGAAGGTGCATTGCCAGATTGAAGTACGATTGTTCTCTTCATTTGTTTGAGATCATCTCCCCTCGTCCAGGCGGCGCATGGTCGGCAGCACGATTGCCGTCGCAGGTCACCTGTAAGGTATGGTGAGCGGCGGCGTGGTAGGCCTGGCGATGGCCTGCGCTCTGCTTTCGATGCGCCCAAAACGCTTGGGCAGTCAAAAGACTCCTCCTCCTCCTGCTCCTCCTCCTCCTCCTCGTTCGCGTCCACGTCCTCATCTTCCTCCTCCACGTCCTCCTCCACGTCCTCCTCCACCTCGTCCTCGACCTCGTCCTCGTCGTCGTCCTCGTCCTCGTCCATGTCCTCGTCCTCCTCCGCCTCCTCCTCACTCTCCTTCTCTCTCATTCGCTCCTCCTCCTCCTCCTCCTCTTCCTCCTCCTTTTCCTCCTCCTTTTCCTCCTCCTTTTTCTCCTCCTTTTTCTCCTCCTTCGCTCCTCCTCCTCCTCCTTCTCCTCCCCCCCCCTTCCTGGACGCCCTCGCCCCCCCCCCAGAGAGTCGACGAGCCACGGCCGGCTCGAGCAGGGCGCCAGCGCCCCGGGCAGGCGGGGGCAAGCGGCTCCTTCTCCTCGCGCAGCCGCGCCAGCGCCACGGCGGGCGCATCTCCGGGGGCCCCGCCGGCCTCGCCGTCGGCCTCGCCAGGGAGGCTGAGGACGGCAGGATGGACGACGCCGCACGTCGTGGCACACGAGACCGAGGTGCTGGGGAAAGTCCTGCAGGGTAGCCTCTTGAGCCACACTGGGCGGGCCCCCTGGATGGGGATGAGGGCCTCTCTTTCTCCTCGTCAGATTATGGCTCCCTTGTTTCGAGGAGGAGGGGGGGACGGAGGAGGAGGAGGAGGAGGAGGAGGAGGAGGAGGAGGAGGAGGAGGAGGAGGAGGAGGAGGAAGAGGAGGATAAGGGTAAAGAGGAGGAGGAGGAGGAGGAGGAGGGACAAGAAGAGTACGAGGGAGAGCAAAGAGAAGGATAAGGAGGAGGAGTGTAAAACCAAGAAGCATCAATGATGTCGAAATTTACCCTTCCTCCAAGTTTCCTCTATGTAGGTGCATACATGTTCTCTTCACTGCGGAGAATGCCCAATTGGAAGACAACAAACAGTCTGATAGTCTTCAATCGTGCCAGAATGCCATTCCGTGGGACTTCAACGAAGCGAGCCAACGTGACTGATGCGTCCTGACAATCCTAAACCGTGACAGAACACCAAGTACTTCAACATCGCGAATCAACGCGACAGTTTCGTCCTGACAATCCTAAGTCGTGCCAGAACATAACCCTTTGGACTTGAACCATACGAACCCTTAAAACTTGTGTGCGCTTTCGAAATGAGAGCGCGCGGCACAAGGCGAGACCCACATTTGGACAACCATCCGCCTTCCATCCGTGATGCTGCTACAAATTTGAAGATTCAAGCTCAGAAATGATGGTGGGATCTCAAGCGAAACGCCCGGCCCGTCCTACCGAGACGTCTGGGGATGCGACAGGGAGGAGTTGTTAAAAAGGAGAAGGGGTGGACGAGGAAGATGAGGAGGTGGAGAAGGAGAAGGAAGAGGAGGACGAGGACGACGGAGAGGAGGGAGGAGGAGGAGGACGAGGAGGAGGAGGAGGAGGAGGAGATGGAGGAGGGCGACGGGCAAGAGGAGGCGAGGAGGAGGAGGAGGGCGAGAAAGAGGAGGACGAAGAAGGGCAGCTCGCAAGCGGCGGCGTATGAGCCGCAAGCGATACTCTGAGGCCTCCGTCCGAGTGGCCTGGCGGGGGGAACCACATCTCCAACGTATGGACGAAAACACATTGGATTTGTTCGTCGTTTTCGGCATCCGGGGGCCCTCGCAGGGATCTGGTGCCGCAGACAAAAACAATCTGGAGCGAAAAGCTGGTCCCGTGGAAACGACCCAGGGCTCCGAGGAGGAGGACTGCAACGGCTGAAGAAGAGGGGGGGTAAGATAACGCTTTTAGTGGAAGATCCTACATCCACCCCTTTTGTTGTACCTTCACGGATGGAGGGCGTGTGGTTTTCAAAATGTGGCTCTCACCTGAGCGCTGCGCACATTCGTTCGAAAAGTGTGCAAGAGCTTCACACATGGAGGGCGTGTGGTTTTCAAAATATGGCTCCCACCTTTGCGCCGCGCACATTCGTCTTCAACGTTTGCACGAGCTTCAAAATGTGGCTCTCGCCTCAGCGCCGCGCACATCCGTCCTAAGTGCTTGCAGCAATGTCAAAGAGTCTTCTGGCTGACGTCCCAGAACTAATGTTTTGGCAAGATGCAGCAAAACTGTCAGGGCGCAACAGTCACGCACATTCGAAGTGTTGAAGTCCCAGAAATGGTGCTCAAGCACGAATCAAAACCGTCAAGACGCAACAATAACGTTGATTCGCCGCGTTGAAGTCCCAGGAATGGTATTTTGGCGCGGTTCCGGATTTTCAAACGGTTGTCGTCCAACGAAACACTTCACACAATAAAAACGAGTCCTTCTATGGCACTATGAACAGGGAATGTGGAGGGAGGGTGTAGTGCAACATCGTACATGAGTCTTGGGTTTACACCGATCCTCCTCCTCCTCCTCCTCCTCCTCCTCCTCCTCCTCCTCCTCCTCCTCCTCTCTAGCCGCCAGCTGTTCATGCCGAACCGCTTTCTGACAGCCCCCTGGCGAGGAGGACGAACGAGGACAAAGACGGCAACGACTGACGATGAGAGATGGTGCCGATGATGATGACGACGACGATGACGACGATGATGATGATGATGATGATGATGATGATGATGATGATGGTGATGATGATGATGACGCTGATGCTAATGATGCAGATGCTGATGATGCTAATGCTGATGGTGATGATGATGGTGATGTTGATGAGTATGAACATGATGATGATGGTGGTGGTTGCGGTGGTGATGATGATAATGATGTTTATGGTCATGATGGTGATGATGGTGATGCTGATGCTGATGCTGATGTTGATTTTGTTGATGATGATGAGAATGAGGATGATGATGGTGGTGGTGATGATGATGACGATGGTGATCATGATGATGGTGTTGGTGATGATGGTGATGGTGATCTTGATGATGATGAGGAGGAGGAGGAGAAGGACGAGGAGGAGGAGAAGGAGGTGGAGGAGAAGGAGCAGGACACGGAGGTGAGCGGAGGAGAGCGGAGGAGGAAGAGGAGGAGGAGGAGGAGGAGGAGGACGAGGAGAGCCGAGGAGGAAGCAGAAGGAGGAGGCGTCTGCGCCCGAGAGATCGGGCCCCGCCACGCCAGCCTCGCGCGCCTGGGCCAGGAGCTCGATGGCCTCCTGCACAGCCACCTGGCGCCGCTTCAGCACCGCGGCGGCCTTGCCCGGTCCCCCGGCCGCGAGCCCTGCTGTGCCCGCCGCATCCTCTCTTCCATCGGCGCGTCGACATGCCGGCTAACGCTCTACCTCATCATCCTTCTCATCCTCCTCCTCCTGCCAACACCATCCTCCTCCTCATCTTCATTAACATCATCACCCTCCTCTTAATCCTCCGCCTCCTCCTCCTCCTCCTCCTCATCATCATCATCATCATCATCATCATCATCATCATCATCATAATCATCCTCCTCGACCATCGAGGCCCGAGAGCGCCAAGCAGGCCTTCGCGGGCCCGAGGCCTCCTGGCCATGTGGAGCTCGATGGTCAAAGGGCGATCGAAGTGGCCAAGTAAGTGGTCGGACTGCCCCCTCTCGTGTTTGTTGCAGTGCTGCCCCCGTGGGGCGTTCCAGGGCCACGTTGGTCAAAACGCTCGAGTGTGCAACGTGATTCGTTCCTGCCTCCTCTGGACTGCTTTCAACTTGGCGCTGCAAGGTTTAAAAGCCCTGGGACCGCACCGAGGAGGCCCAAATGTGCGCGTCTTCTTCCGCGCTCTTGCAGCTTTTGCCTGGTGTCTGGCCCCTCCTGCTGTCGTTCGTCCCTCTCTCTCTCTCACTCTCTCTCTCTCTCTCTCTCTCTCTCTCCTCCTCTCGCCTTTCCCGCTCCGCTGGGCCGTCGGCCTCTCCTCCCCCCCCCCTCGGCGGCGGTCCCTTGCTGGGGGCGCAGTAGGGTGTGGGGCCTGGTGTCCGCTTGCGGATGCCAGGCGCGCGCGCCTTGCTGTGGCCTCGGCCCGGCATGGCGCCTGCTCCCCTGTTCCTGCTCCTTGGGCGTTGCTACTTGCGGACGGGCCGATCGTGACACCAGATCTCTCCTGTGCCTCGCCTCCTCGAGGCCTGTGACGGGCCTCATCGGCGCGGGCTGCGCACTAGCAGACCCCGTGCATGCACGGGGCTGCCGCCAGCGCCTCTCGTGGAATGAGGTGCCGAGCATCGTGATGTCAGAGTATCCCCCCCTAGTCCTCCCTAGTCCGACCCTCATTGGACTCTTGCTGAGCGCCGCCACCGCTGCCTCCTCCTCCTCCTCCTTCTCCTCCTCCTCCTCCTCCTCATCATCATCATCATCAGCCGCAACATAATTATCGTCGTCATCATCATCATCAGCATCATCAGCATCATCATCATAATCATCAGCAGCATCATCAGCATCATCATCAGCAGCAGCATCATCATAATCACCATCGTCATCGTGATCACCACCATACTCCTCCTCTTCATCATCAGAATCACAATCACCATCACCATCACCATCATCATCATCATCATCATCATCATCATCATCATCATCATCATCATCATCATCATCATCCTCAAAATCATGATCATCATCATCACCACCGTCACCATCATCATGGCTATCATCATCCTAATCCTAAGCACCGGCACCATCATCATCATCATCATCATCATCATCATCATCATCATCATCATCATCATCATCGTCATCATCACCACATATAATCACCATCACCGTCATCGTCTTCGTCATTATCAGCATCATCATCATCATCATCATCATCAGCAGCAGCATCATCATCATCATCATCATCATCATCATCATCATCATCATCATCATCACTATCATCATCGTCATCGTCAGCATTACCACCATTACCACCACTAGCATCATGATCATAATCAGCAGAATCATCATAATCATCAGACTAATCATAATCATAATCATCATCACCATCACCATCATCAGCAGCATCATATCATCATCGTGCTAATCAACGTCCTCGTCGTCATCATCATCATCATCATCGTCATCATCATGGTCACCACCATCACCATCATCATCATAACTACCATCACCATCATCATCATCGCCATCATCACAACCATCATCATTATCACCATAATCATCATGTTCCTCACCATCTCGTCATCATCATCAGCATCATCAACAACCTCCTCCTCAACAGCATCCCACTCCTCCTGCTCCTTATCCTCATCCTTCTCCTCATCATCCTCCTCGTCATAATCCTCAGTATCCTCCTCATCGTCATCCGCATTCTCCTCCTCCTCCTGCTCGTCCTCCCCACCTCCTCCTCCTCCTCCTCCTCCAACTCCAACTCCAACTCCTACTCCTACTGCTACGCCTACTGCTACTCCTACTGCTACTCCTCCCTCTTTTCCTCCTCCTCGTCCCGCTGATCCTCATCCTCATCCTCAGTCTCCTCAACAACATCGACATGATCATCAGCATCATCATCATCCTCATCATCATCAGAATCCTCATCATCCTCGTTGTTCATCACCAGCATCCTCCTCGGCATCATCATCCTCGTTCACCTCCTCCTCATCCTCCTCCTCCTATTCCTCATCCTCTTCGTCATCATCATCACCATCATCATTGAGATCAGCATCATCGTCATCATCACTGAGATAACCATCATCACTAGCGTCATTATCATCATCATTACCATCATCATCGCCGTCATCAGATCACCATCAGCATCATTATCATCATCAGCAGCATCATCACCACCATGATCGTTATCATCAGCATCCGCAGTTTCATCATCCTCATTCTCATCGTGATCATCAGCAGCATCCTCATCATGATCATCACACAACTCCTCCTCCTCCTTCTCATCACTATCACCCTCCTCGTCATCACCGGCATCATCACTATAATCATCCCCCTCGTCATCATTGCCATCATCAGTACCAGCATGATCCTCCCCCTCCTCATCAGCATTATATTCCTACTCATTATCACCATCAGCATCATCATCCTCATCCTCCTTCCCCTCCTCCGCGTCAGCATCATCATAATGCTTGACATCTGCATCCTTCCCCTTCATCACCATCATCACGTTAATCATCGCCATCACCAGCATCATGGTTATCACCATCATCATCAACATCTTCCTCCTCATCCCCCACACCTTAGCATCCTTAAGATCATCATCAGCCTCATCATCATCGTTCATCCGCAGCACCCTTATCATCGGTATCCTCAAGATCGTACTCCTCCCCCTCCTCCTCCGCCTCATTATCAGCATCATCATCGTCATCCCCCTCTTCATCCTCATCATCGTCATACTCACCATCCTTACCTTAACTTTCCCCATTACCATATTCCGCCCCATCATTATCATTATCAGCATCCTCAACATCATCATCTGTACCATCGCCATCATCAACATTATCACACTTATCACCATCATAATGATCATCATCAGCATTTGCATCATCATCATGAGCATCACTATCGTCATCATCATAAACCTCGCCGTCCTCATCAGTATCATCGTCATCATCCTCAGCATCCGACTCATCCTCCTCATCATCATAAACACCATCATCATCATCAACATCGCCCTTCCCCTTCTCATTATCAACATCATCACACTCACTCTCATTTACCCCCTCGTCGTCATCATAAACATCACCATGATCATGATCATGATTATGATCATTGTCATGTTCATGATCATCATCATCATCATCATCATCATCATCATCAACATTATCATTACCATCATCCTCATCTTCACCCTCATCCTCAACATCCATCTCCTCCGTGTGATTTTCATCATCATCATGACTCAATCATCCTCATCATCCCCCATTCCATCGTCATCATCATCAAACTCCTTCTTGTCATAACCATCCTCCACCACCTCATTATCATCCTCCTCATCCTTCTCATCATCATCCTCATCCTCCTCTTCCTCCCCATCCGCATCCGCATCCTCATCACCCTCCTGCTCCGTCTCCTCATCTTCATTCACCTCCTCCTCCTCATCCTCCTCCTCCGCATCCTCCTCAACAGCATCATAAACATCATCATCATCATCACCATCAATACCATCATCATCACCGTCATCATCATCATCCTCATCATCTCCTCCTCCTCCTCCTTCTCCTCATCACCCTCATCCTCATCGCCATCACCATCAGGACTCTCCTCCTCCTCCGCCTCTTCCTCCTCCTCATCCTCCTCCTCATCATCAGCATCATAATCATATTTTCCTGATCATCATCATCATTTTCAGCGTCATCATTTTCGAAAAACCATATCATCGTCATCATCATCCGAATCCTCATCCTCCTCCTTCTCATCATCATCCTCCTCACCATCCTCAACAGCATCATCAGCATCACCGTCATGATCGTCGTCACCATCATCATCAACATCCTTATCATCATCACCATCAGCATCGTCGTGTTTGTCATCATCCTCATCATCATCACCACCATCATCATCATGCTCCTAATCCTCCTCCTCATCATCCTCATCATCCTCATCATCCTCGTATGACCATCCTGATCATCCTTATGATCATGATCATCAGCAGCATCGTCAATTCCTTATCCTCATAATTAACTCCTCCGTGTCGCACCCCGAAGCAAGTAGTGAGGGCTGACCGGGCGTTTCGCCTGAGACTTTCTTGCAATTTAGGGCCTTGGAGCTTGGAAACTGACAACAGCTTCACATGTGGAGGGCGGGTCGTTTGCGAACTGTGTCTCTTGCCTCACCGCCGCGCACGTTCGTTTGAAACAGTTGCAAGGGCTTCACGGATTTAAGGCGGGCGCTTTTCAGCATGTGACTCTCGTCTCAACGCCGCGCACATTCGTTTTAACGGATTGCATGGGCTTCGCGGACGGAGGGCAGTTCCTTTCCAGCATGTGGTTCTCGCTCTGGCGCCGCGCAATAATTCCCAGAGCTTCACGGATTAAGGGCGGGCGCTCAGCGCCGCGCGCATTCGTAAGACACTTCTGCAAGGGCTTCAAATATTTAAAGCAATTCCTTTTCAAACTGTGGCTCTCGCCCAAGCGCCGCGCACATTCGAAATAAACAGTTGCGAGAGCTTCAAATATTGAAGGCGGTTCCTTCTCAAAACGTGGCTCTCGCCTGAACGCCGCGCACGCTCGTCTTATAAACCTTTGCACAAGCTTCACGGGTTCCGACGTTAACATACAATCAGAAATTGCGTTTTGGAACGATTCAGGATTGTCAA